TATTAATGAAGTGATAGCATTTAATTAAATAATAACCTATAATATATATCTATATATATATATATATATATATATATATATACTGTCATTATATCAAATAAAAAGAGAATTTTTAAAAATTTTTGTGTGGGCCTTGGCCCCCCTAGCCATGCTTACCGTCCGCCCCTAGATGAAAGCTCAATCTCATGTTCCTGAGGTCCACAGAAATATTGCCACCATCCTGTGCATTTCGATGCCAACTCCATGACTCCAAACAGCGACCTGCACAGGAAAAAAAATGAGAAAGATAACTGTTATCTATTAGAAATTGAAGTTATAAAATCTAATAGGTAGACCTCGTGTATATAAAGGTGAGAGTAAAAACCTCCCTTAACACGTTAATCAAAATTAATCTATTTTATTATAAATTTATTATAAAATTAATGTCGGACTCATAGTTAACTTAATATTATATTACATGATTGAATAAGTCACTATATGATATAGTTACAATTACTCATAATTTGATATTAATTAACCTAAATCCGTAATAATTAACTATGTTAGAACACAATATAAAATAAATGCAACACTAATCTCAATTTCCTATTGTTTCTTTTTCTTTATTATTAATTTTTGAGTTCCTCCACTCATTCATTTCAATATTGTATTTTTTAAAAATATATTTATATTTATAATTACAAAATACCTAATTAAACGACAACCTCAGATGGTATTGAGTCGTGCAAAATTCGGCTTAAAGGATAAAATTGCGGTGAAAGAGATTTTTATACCATTTTTCTCTTGGTGAATTTGTTCACTCCCTTGAAAAGATTTGTCTTAAAGGGTACAAATTGTGGTGAGGGAGAGGTTTGGCTTAAAGGGTGTTTAAATTTAAGGATGAGAATGTGTTGACTGCTTTGAAGAGTAGGAGAGGTAAGAGGAGTTGCTAGGTCTAGGTGACTGTTAAACTGATACAAACTTATTCTGTTTCTCTTCACTCTTATTTTTCAAGTCTATTAGGATGACATTGTCAAGAAATATGATATTATTATAGGGTAAGTTGTTTAAAAATTATAGTGATCTGTGTTTAGTAATTACATCATTTTGATTAAAAGTAATTTAGAAGTTTTACTGGTATGATAAGATTATTACCTCGAAAAATTATTTGATTTTCAACTTTTAAGATGAAAAAGTTTTATCGAAAAATAATTTTTAATATTATTTTTTGATTAATTTATCTTCACAAAAAATTAGATAATATTACCCTAAGAAGTCAGTGACTAAAATTTTTAAAATTTGATTTTTAATCACTTATTTTAAAAAAAGGATTTATGTTATAAATTTATATTTACAAGAAAAAAGATAATAATTTATATAATAATTTTTTAGAAATTATTTTTATCAAAAATGATTTATAAAAGAACGTTTAATTATTTATAAATTATTGATTTAATAAATATTAAATTTTTTTTAGGTTATTTTAGATAATTTGTACTATATGATTTATTTTTTCATATAATATTAAATATAGTGATTTAAAATCATTAATAATTTATAATATTATATCAAATATAATAATTTAAGATTATTGGTAATTAAATCATTTTAATGATTTTATTACTATAATAATTAAATTATTATGATGATCTTAAAAATATACCAAACGATATTCAAGGAATTAAATTTTACTATTGCATCCCAAAGAATTCATATATTTTGGTCATAATGTCCTAGAAAGATGGATTCTTTATCCTTTTTCTTTTTATTGCAATGAATGGGCTATACATAATATTTCTTAAGACAGAGAATAGCAGTTTGATTTTTTTAAGTAAAAAGATAAATGTAGTTTTTTTTTTTTTTCATTTTTTGTTTTACCTTCAAATTTCAGATTGGTTTTTGAACTTTTGTGATGCAAAATTTGAAAATGCATTTTCTTTTTAATGTTCTTTTCTATGTTGTTTCATTTTCTTTATTCCTTGCTTCTTGCAAGTTTTGTTTCATTCTTTGGAAGGTTGTTCAGCTTTCTCCGTATAATGGCGAAGTTGTAGATATGTATAGCACTTGACAGTGACTGATCCTTACGATCCTGTCTCAAACAGCAAACCCACCTTTAAAATCCTTGATTAAATTTCGTAATTTAAAACATAATAAATTTTTTTATTACATCATAAAAGTAAAATCTTAGAACAAGTAAAAAAAAAAAAATTCGGTTTGAAACCAAACTCTTGATGTCTCTTTAAACGTTTTAATCATTAGACTAAAAGTTTGAAGACAATTTAAATCATGATATAATGATATGATATAAATAAAATATAAAAATAATACGATTTAAAATTTTAATAATTATTATATATAAATTTAGTAAAATAAAAAAATATTTCATATTGATACGAGTTTTAATATATAACTTTTATATAAAATATTATATAAATATATAAATTTTAATATTTTAGATATCACAAATATACAAATCTCTATTCTCCACATACAAATTCAATAAGAAAAATGTGCAGACTCAAGACCCTAATAAGTCCAACCAGGGATACAGCTATCTAAGAAAGCTACATATATATATAAAAGAAATGACTTCCCTCTCGGTTTCAGCATGTGTAAATTATTGCATACCTTTGAAAATTAACTACGCCCCAAGGCACAGCTAGGAACATGCACTTACTGCTTTGCCAAAAGCAAGAAAGGCTCAATAATAAATGAAAAAAGAAAAGGACAGAGGAGAAGATTATCATTTTATATATGTACCGATTCAATGCACTGCATAGTGTGAAATATATAGACAAGTTATATATATGCAGTTTGGTAAGTGTATCAATTACAATTACAGGGTCACTGTCAATTGTATCAGTTTCAATTACTATGATTAGAAAAGCACATTTTTGGGAGAGATTTTTATCTTATACTACAAGTTTCCCCATAATTTCATCCACAAAAAATGTTTTCCCATTAATTTTTTTATTATATAAGATTTTAAGCTATAAAATGGTAGGTTACACCCAGTCCCTTCCACTCCCAAAACTTCAAATTTTATCTCAAAATTTGAATCCAAAACCTTTAAAATAAAATGTAAAAGTCTTGATTTATTGAGTTAAAACATGAAATGCATGGTAGGAGTATACTTGTATGTCATTTTCAATTCTCTTATGGACCCAAAATTTATTCAATTGCAATTCAACTACAATCATCATACTTTTTATTTTTATTTTTTTTCAGGAAGTGGAGACAGCCTGCCTGCCTACAACTTCTATATTTCCATTTGTTTCCCCATTTGCAATTGGTACCTTACTTTTCTGATATGATTGCATGGCTCATACAGAAATAAAGCCTTTTGTCAGAACAGGACCGTTATTGATAATCCTCTCAGGATTCAAACTAGCTCAAGCAGTAATGGATTTTTTCATCCTTGCCACATAATTACTAGTCTTTATTCCCTGATCAAATGGCACCCTCCGTCATTATCTAGCATACCATTACCACAGCACTGAATGATAGCCTTTTGAATTACCAGACGTGGATCAGGCTTAATTTTTCATGCCTTCATCTGTATGGTAGTGATCAGTAAAAGACTATGGTTTCATTGATAGCAGTAAAAAAAGGCATTTCCTGGTATCATGAAGCTAAAAACATTCATGATAGATTTCTCATTTCAGTGTCTGATATTTTTTAAGATGGCTCAGGTTCGACTATGCTATAAGTAGAAAAATGTTGTATCAGACCTTTTCAGTGCATCACGACATCAAGCTACTAACATTGAATCAGTTTTAGAATACAAAAACACTCAGCTTCTGGACAATCTCTTTGATCTTTTTGTACAAGAAATGTTGTTCGTGATCTCCTTTGTGGAATGATTGATGTAAATAGAACCTGAATCCTAAAGCTCATGTAATTATGATAACTTTCTTAGGCCAAAAACAGGAAAGAAAAAATGGGACCATAGAAATATCAGGCCACTATGAATTCAAAATCTAATAATTGGAAACCTGCTTGTAGGAAAAAGTTTTCTGTTCTGCTTCACGGGCAATTGCTTCACTTTCTTGATTCCCATCAATTAGGGTCTCCCATGGTAGTTCCAAATTTTGATGAATGGTTCATGAACCAAATATTTTAGAACTGACATTATTAGTATGGTAGATGATTCTAAATATTTACCCACCCACCTCAAACTGAAGGATTGGACTGTACGATCGAATTGCAAGATGGACATTTGAATCAAGCATGTTGATTTTAAATATATATAAAATATTATTATTTGAACTGAAAATAATTTTTGTTTTAATATATAATTTAGTTTTTATCAATTTTTATCCTACTGATATTCTTGTTAGTTTATATTTTTTTATTGTAAGTCAAAAGAAACGTATATTATAACGTTTGATTTTGAAGATTTTTTTTTAAACAGATAGATATTTATGGTTTGAACTTCGTAATATTTAATTTTAATAAGAAATGTAGTGAAGTTTTATGAATTTGAATTGTGTGATTATAATTTTTATTTATAATATTGAAAAGTTATTATTTAATTATGTATTTTGGAAAAATTTTAAAATTTAAAGTCAACTTGAACCGCACTATATCGACCTTGCATGAGTGATCCATAGTTTGAGGATGTGATGTATCGATTTACGATTCAAAATTTTTAAGATCGATCCTGTATGAATGACCCACGATATTAGCTTTTGGACCGACCATCTGGATTTTGCACTTCCCTACATACATGAATAGGACTTTCTTTTGCAAATGCTTGATCCATGTGCCTGAATTGCTGACCACTGAACTGAATAGGTTTAAAATTCTTAAAACAAAAGGAAGGAAAGAAAAATAAAGAATAGAAGAAGAAAGAATGAATGTTATCTACTATTACTATTACCTTTATTTCCTGAAATTTAATATCTTTTTCTATGACAAAAAAAAAAGGAACTTTAAACCATATATATTCCAATGTTTGAACTCCACTTCAAAAATTACAATGGCCCATTTCATTATATATGTGTAATTTTCTCAGTGGAGCCTACCAAAAGAAAATTCAGGATTAGAAAATGAAACCTCCACTTGGAACTCCCATGTGTTTTCAATTTTACTTGATTGAAAAGCAAAAACAAAATTACTATGATACCCTAATTTTTTATGATTTGGACATGACAATAGCTTACTAATATGGCACCCCTATATATACCATAAATCTGTTCATAATAAATTCCATAATTGAGATCCATAATTTCCTTCCAGGATTGAAACTTTCTATATGGGTGAGTTCAGACAATATTTGCAGGGTTTTAGGCCTTCTCAGCTTATGTCAGAAATGGATATCAGCATGGAAATGACAAAGCAGTCTTCAGAGCTAAATTCAAGTCTATTGGAGAATTTCAGCACTGCAGACTTCTCTTTAGAAACCTTGTTGGCCCACCAACTACCTGAATTCCCAGCAAGCTGTACTTATAACAACCTTTCGAGTACTGTGCCTGCCGGCAGCCTTGGTGCAATACCAACTGCTCATACTGTTACGGTGGATGAAGATGTTTTTGTTGAAAGCAAGAAGAGAAAAGCAAATGAACAATCAACCAGCAACTGCCAAAGCATTTCTCCTGCTGTTTCCACAACTGAATTTGGAGGAGACTCCAATATCAGGAAAAAGAATGTATGTGATCCACTTGTTTCTTGAACTCTTCTTTCTTTTACAAATTTCAGTTCTCATCTTGATTTGAGGTTTGAGTTTTATGTGTCTCTTTGACATATTGATCCATTCAGAGATTAGGCAAAGGGAAGAGCAACAAGAAAGAGCCAGAGAAAGCAGAAGAAGTAATTCATGTTAGAGCAAGAAGAGGCCAAGCTACAGATAGTCACAGTTTAGCAGAAAGGGTCTTTTTCTTTGGTCTCAAAATGAATGAAAATATTATGAAAATAATGATAATATGAGTAAACTATAACATTGATCATTTTCTTTATCAGGTAAGAAGAGAGAAAATCAATGAGAAAATGAGGTGCCTGCAAGACCTTGTTCCTGGATGCCACAAGGTAAAAATGTTACTGGATGCAAGCATGTTATTACTTGAACAAATCTTTACTTAGCTGTGAACATATGTGATTTAATATATGAGCTTATGGCTGGATCGACAGACAATGGGAATGGCGGTTATGCTGGACGAAATCATTAATTATGTTCATTCATTACAGAATCAAGTTGAGGTAAATCAACTTCATGTTTTTAGCTCTCAAGTTAATAATACCAACACTTTTGAACTAATGTCCTTCTTCTTCTAGTTTCTTTCAATGGAGCTTGCGGCAGCCAGTTCTTCTTATGACTTGAACTTGGATACAGAATGCATCAGAAAGGCACAGGTACAGAAAGATTAAGTAACTTCTGAAAGCTATCACCAATTGTGAGTGACAACTTTTTTTCCCTCTCTTTAATCAGACACCAGCCAACCTATTGAATGAAGTGTCCAATGTTGAATTTCTAATAAAGAGACATGAAATTGTATGTAACAAACTTAGTTTGACTCTCAATAAATGACTTGCTGCAAGGAAATGAACAAATGTCCTGTCAAAACCTGAACCATAGTTCAAATCTAGCAGACTGATTTCACAGATGTAATTTGGTAAACATTCGTACATGAGTAAGTAGAAGTAACTAAAACTTTATTCAAGTATTGCGTAGATTTAGTTAAATTGAGTGATTCTGGATGCTAAATGATGCAGGGGACAAATTCACATGTAGCACAACAGATGGAGAAATGGGCAAGAGATAGATATGGAGAACAGAATTGCTTCCATTGGACATGGCCACTTTGACTGCACTTTTGGCCATTACTTCTTGTTTGCTTATAAAGCACATGAATATGCTTCTTACCTCATTTTCGTGCAAATCAAATCTGTTTCCAGATACGATGGCAAATGTTTCATCCGCTTTCATACACGTTACATCTGTTTCTAGTTAGACGTCAATTGTCCTAATGAACTTATCACGAGGGGTTGAGTCCGAAATACCTGAGCATATCCCTATTTTTTTGGTCTCAATTAAGGGCTTCTTTTTCTTAGTTTTGTCTCTAAAACCTATTTGTGGCTTATAGCACCTTATGCACTAATGATGCTATGTCAGCTGGAGCAAGTTAGGCATGAACTGGCTTTAAACAGGACTGAACTTATGTATTTGTTTGTATTTTTCATGTCCATTTTGTGAAGTATTTTGTCAATTTATGAAATGAAACTTGATATTCACCCACCTTGATATAGACAGACTTGATATTCTCGGGTACAAATCAACTTTTTCAAGTGGCTGAAAACCATTGAACTAACCTCTTTTAATCCAATTTAAAATGAAAAAAAAAAAAAAGTTTCCAATTAATAAGACAAGCAGTTCATTCAGACTCAATAGCATTCCTGCAAAGAAATGATAGGCTTGATAGCTATCCAATAGAAATCAACTTTGCTTAATTAGATAAATGCAAACCAACAGTCTTAGGACTGACAAAAATTAATGGGTCCAAACATATATTGATAAATAGAATCTCACAGATATTGCCAATTTATATGGTGAATGATTGAAATTATGGAGTATAGAATAATACTGAAGGGGCATTAAAGGTAAAAAAAAAAAAAGACTACAGGTGCATTGCATCCAAATATTTGGGATTGGGAGAGGACAGCTTGAATGGGCCATATCATGTTCATAAGAAGATGGGGCAGTATTGGTTCTCAACATTGTTGATGAAAGTTCTATTAAATCTTTACATCCTTTTCTTTGACTCCTTTTTACAAATTTCACTTAGCCTTCTTCTGGATAAAATGCACCATTACAAAGACAAAATGTCCTGTGTTAACAAAATTAAGTAAGGTTTCAAAATTTGCCATTAACCTCTATTAGTAAGTGGGTAAGTGTCACACACATATATATATGTGTGTGTACACAGAACACGCATATGTTCAATTTTTAAGTTTTTTCATAAATTAAAGGGTCGGACCTTCATACTTATGTCTGTCGCATATGTGTCAGACATGGATATAAAAAAAAATAAAGAATTAGAGCAACATAGTCTTTGGCTAGGATCAGTCCATCGAGCCTTACTAGGATTTGTACCGATACTGATCTCAAAATTAATCCACTAAGGTTTGGAAGAGACATGAAATTGTGTAGACAATATATTCTGTTTCTAATGCATGCTGGGATCAGGAGGACGCAACATGGCATTCCTAACTTCAAATGAAAGGGACCTGAAAGGGAGAAAGAAAAGGAAAAGCACTCTATCATATGCTAAACAGCTCCTTTAATAATGAATTCATCTTGGTTTTTCTTTTGTCCTTTTTTTGGATGGCTAATGGCTGATACTCCAGTCAGTTCAATGCTATATATGATTTAAAACGAGTCCTAATGCCTTCTCAAAAGCTTCTTCTTTTTTAAAACGATTCTTAAGTTTTTCTCCTTAATTTTTTTGGCTTATACAATGATAAAAATATTTCTTAAATTATACTTTAACAATTCAATGACTACTATATAAGATGTGATTTCTATTGGAATAATACTGTCAAATAAACCCTTGAATTTTACTCAAAAATGGAAATAAGTCACTGATTTTTTATTGCTTGAAATTAGAACTATTAATTTTTATTTTATTATAATTAGAACCTTAATGATATAAAATGCTCAATTTTTTGTTAAAATTAATTTTTTTAATTGGATGATTTAATTTATAAATTTATTTAGATGTGTTAAATGATAAATATTTGAGGAAATGCTATTTTAAAAATTGTTTGGAGAAAAAAAAATAAAGGGTAAGTGTTATCTTTCTGTGTCAACATACCTCATTCAAATAGCGAGGTAGAAAATGTGGTGGGGTTTTGATTTGATCATTTTCAGGAGGCCTATTGCATGTTGTTTCTAGTCTTGTTTGCTAAGAAACCATTCACATTGAAAAGGTTATAGCAAGCTCGATCGATTGACAGTGATGTGCTAACCAAAAGGGTGCCTTGAAATGACTCCCAAGGGATGTGTTTTGTGCCTACATGTGCAGCTATAGTCACACATTCCACTCCTTGTCTGCATTTCTGTAGGGTCTCTGCTTAGATCAAATGCTACATTATGGAAAATGCATCATTGAGTTATGTATCCTTCAAACAGGGCTTTTCCATGATATGCTGATGATTTCATAGCCATAATCACCAATTGTGTTCCAAGCTGCCCTTATTAGTTTGGTTGCATTGCAAATTTGCTGGTCCCAATGGAATTTTGTATTATCCATAGGTTTTGCTTTGCTTAAACTTGTTCCTGACAGTACTTTCTTATTCTTCATTTGGATGTACTGTGGGTGGGGATTTTCATCGTACTTAAGTCGCTAAGCGGCATTGTACCCCTCTTAAGTTGGAATAGTAATGGAACTCATATTCCTTTTATTTTTTTATTTATATACAAATTCATTTAATATTTATAATATCTGAATTTATTTAAATATTTATTTAAATTTAATATCATTATTCAAATTCAAATCTATTTAAATAAGCATTGTCCATTTAAATATTTTAATTCGTCAAAATATTCATTTATTTGAATTTTTTGTCAAAATATAAAATAATTTAAAATTCAAGTTCACTTTTAATTAATAATAAATAACAGTTATTTTTTTAAAATCCAAATCTTCTACAAATATAAAATTTTATATATTTTTTATATGTAAATGGATAAAAGATTCAAATACAGATTTGGATATCTATTACTATTCATTAAAACTTAAACGAATTTCAATATTGAATATTTAAGGAATATTATCCGTATTCACTCTGAATCCGTTACAAATAGTAAATTTCTTATCCGAATTCATTAATTATTCATTTATAACTATCCGAATTCGATATAAATGAATCAAATAATAATAAATATCCATTTATTTACTATTCATTATCATCTCTACTCCTAAGTAACATTAAGAGTGGGCATTAATCAATTGGAACCCAATTTAATTGACTAAAATCAGTTGAAATATATTAATTCTATTTGGTTTATTGGGTTTCAATAATCGGTTAAAGAAAATGGTTTTTTTGATTAGTTTGGTTGGTTATCAACTTTTAAGAGTGATAATAATTTGTATCAAATAGAATTTGATTTAGTTTTTTAGGTCAATATATAGTATTGTGAATTTTTAAAATTCAATTCGAATCCAAATTGACCTTCCATTGAAACCTATTCGATCTAAATTGAATTTTATTAGTTCAATTCGGTCTGGTTTGGTTCATCAATTATTAAATTTAATTTTTTTATTTTTTTATATATAATTTTAATATGATTTTTAATATATTTAAATAGATTATATATAAAATAATTATTTTATTTTATAAGAATTTAAAAATGTATAAACATAAATAAAAATCTATAATTTGATTTAGTTTGATTTTTTTCGATTTTTCACACCCCGATTCAAAATCTCATTTGACCTTAATATATATATTTAATATCCGAAGTTGATTCCAACCAAATAAAAAAATTATTCTGAACCATATCAAAGATTACAGTTTTAAATCAATTTTTGGTTTTCTCAATTTTTTTCACCTTGAAAATTAGTAGTTGAACAGAAAGTGGCTAATCTTATTAACTTATTTTTAAATATATTTTTATGTATAATATAAATAATATAATTTGCATAGTATTTTAAAATCATATATGTAATATAATATATTATTTATTTTATATAATATCTAATGTTTATACCATGACCTGCAAGTTTGAGAATTGGATAAATGATGCAAAAAATAAAGTTACTATTGATTACCTAATTAAATTTATTCTTTTTTAAAAATATCTTAAACTTAACTAAAAATCTCTAAAAATAATAGGTTTATAATTTATAAAACAGAACTAGATTGGAATGCACTTATCTATAGATAAGGTTTTAAAACCATAACAATGCCTATTGAATTAGTATCAATTAATCTTATATCATTCTAAATAATCTTAATTATAATAGTCTTTATTCCAATTTTACTTTATTTTTGTATAGTTTTTAATATTTTACTATTTAAATATTAAAATATGTCTAGACACTTTGATTGAACTTCTAAAGAATTTTTTGTTTTCAAGAGTATTCAAGTAATACAACAATTTTCTTGAAAAGGCTTCATAGTCTAATTTATTAAATAATCTATGAAAGATAATTTATTTTATTCCTTTTTCTTATTTACAAACATTATTTTCAAAATAAATGAAAATCCTTAGTATTAAAATTTTTTTACTGAAATTCTCCATTCCCTTGACTAAATTTTAGAAAAATCTTTTCACTTAGAAAATTCTAAAAAAAATTACACGAGTGTAAAATTCTTGAAATTTCATCATTGGAGGGAATTTCTATTTATTCAAAATTGATATAAAATAATTATACAAATATATTTACATTCAAAAATTTACAAAATCAAAATTTTTTTCCTCATTATTATTTTTCAACAAGAAATTAAATCATATGCTAATCAAATAAATAAATAATAACAGAATAAAAAGAATATTGAAAATAGAAATAAAAGAAAAATAAAAAACCTGAAAACTACAATCAGGTATTGAATTATAGAAAAATATTCTTATCAAGAAATTTCTAAGAAAATCACATGCTCGTAAAATTCTTGAAATTTTGTCATTTGAAAAATTTTTCATTTATTCAAAATTGATACAAAATAATTATATAAACATATTTACAATCAAAATTTTGTTTTCCTCATTATTTTTTAACAAGAAATTTAATCATATACTAATCAAATAAATAAAGAAGAGAATTAAAAAACATAATAAAGAAAATAGAAAAAATTTTAAAAGAAATAAAAAACCTAGAAACTGTAATTGGGTAGGTTCAAGTACATAGATCTAGGCAGGTTGGATTACGAATCCTAACTCCTTGAAACAATTTCATTTCACTCTGTCTATAAACACTAATCTTTTTTTCTTTCCAAAATTTCCTTATTTTTCTCTCTTCTTTCTTTTTCTTTTCCTTCTCTATAAAAACTTAATAAAAAAAACTCTAAAAAAATCCTAGAAATGGATGACTTTTCCTAGAATCTGAGGCACAAAAATTCAACCATTGTTGAAAAAGTCAATTTCCACCTAGAAACTACCATGAATTCCAAATTTTGATGAAGCTCTGCCACCAAAAAATTCAAAATAAATCCAACAAAAATCTTTTTAGCCTTATTAATTTGTTGTTCGACTAAAATTTCCAAAAAATTCTAAAATCCACCAAATCTAAACCCAAAATGATTTGTGTAACCTAAAAAAATCTATTGATTTTACCCAAACAACACCAAAAATCAACCACAAACAATTTTTTT